AACTAGACTAAAATACTTTAGATTTTCTTGGACTAAAACTAGACTAAAATGTTGAGACTTTTAGTCGACTAAAACTTGACTAAAACTAAATAGGATAAGGTTGACTAAATATGATAAACTAACAAGGACATTTTAGCCCGGGACTAAGACTAAGACTAAAATGAAAATAGCTGACAAAATTAACACTACCTTCAGCAGAGCCGCTTCGCATCGGAGCGGTAAAAACAGAAACCACATGTTTTAATTAATCGTCAACTAAACGAGACGGCAATAAACAGGGTTTGTTGCGGAGGTGCTTTCGTAGGTGCAGGAGGTGAGGAGATGAGGGAGAAGTGGAGGAGGAGAGCAGCGCCAGTTAATTACCCAACCATACCCAGATAAGTTTGTTGGTTTGTTCAGCGTTTGAATGACAGAGGAGATGACAGAGGCAGGCTCAGGAGAGCCGGCGATCGCATCAGCTGTTTAATAATTGATCTACGAAAGCAAGAGCTTGTTTTGTGGAGATGAGAACACACTGCCTCATCTGATCCCTGAGCTGCTGGAATCAGAGGGATTGTTTTTGTAATATGCCACCGAATAATCAGATCAATGCTCTTTTACGGAGCCCAAACATCTCACAACTGAGCCTTACCACAGTGAATTAACAGCTTCACACTTGTACACACAGCACATGCAAAACCACACACGTTCCCTTTGCTAAATCAGCTGGAACTAAATTGACAATTTGCACTGCTCAATATGGCGCCAGATAGATTAGACGACATTTTCATCATCATTGAAAGCCCAGACCTACATTAAATGGGTTCTTTTTCTCTCCTTCTGTCTCCCTTTTCTTTTTGGTTTGCCTTCCAAACCATAATGAAGTCAGTTTAAACAGCTATATTCATTTCCTTAATGAGGGGAAGGTCCTTTAATGCTTTACTCCAGTGAGACAGAGGCTGTGTGGGCGCTAATAAACACAACTCACAAAAGCAACATCTCTTAACAGAGTATCTGAGGCCTTCGTGGATTTTTTTTGTTAGCATTTAATTATACTTCAGCATTATGACTGACATTATTAGTGCTCTCTCTGGGAGGATGTAATTAAAAGTAGTTTTACATTAATGCTAAGTCTGAAATGCTCTCATCAATAAAAAACATCCAGTGCGATGTTTTGGACGTTAATGTCATTGGCGATACAACGTGGTGTTTCGAAATCTTTTGGTAACAATGTAACTACTTTAAAGAGCCAAAGACGATTTGAAATGTTGCAATACCTTTGCTAAACTGCTAGATCTACTGCTTTCTAAAATAAATATTGAGTAATTCTATAATAGCAATAAAGCTAAAGCTAACGTGAGTAACATGTTTTTTCAATGTAAAAGGGATAGTTCACACAAAAATTATAATTCTGTCATAATTTACTCAACCCCATGTTGTTCCAATCCTGAGACCAAAACAACATTAGATCCCATTTTCTTTCTGTGTATAGAAGGGGATGGATATAACAAAAAAAAAACATAGATTAATGTAATTTCTAATTTTGTAATAATACATGTTTTGTAATAAAATGTGTTTTTTAAACAGTTTTTAGTTATATATATACATATTTGTTTATGTTATATATAAATACATATATATATATGTTATTATATATAATGTTTTTAAAATTATTTTATTTTGTTTTCCCTGGAAGAATTAATATTTTTTTGGTGAACTATTCACTTTAAAATACTTTCTAAATTACATTTTACTGTTAAGAAACAATTACAGTAAGGTCAAAAAGAGTTTATACCTGTGCACCAGAATATATATTATTACAAATTATACTATTAGAATAACAAAATGGCTTAAAAATTAACATGAATTTCAGACTGTCTTACTATCTGCTCCTCATTTATGACAGCAGTCTTCAAGTTGCATGAACTCCACAAGTTTATGTAAAACCTGATGATCATGTGATCAAACATGTTTTTAAACTGATCCAAAGAGCATCTTGTAGTTCAATAAAAAAATCACGAAACATCTGACCATCTGTACAAAGAGTCACATGATAAATCACTAATTTGCTTATTCAATCATTTTAAATCTGAAAAACTTCCTTTAAAAATCTTTAACCTAATGTCATTTTAAATCTGGAAAACGTCCTAATTTTTATGATTTTTTTTAAATTCAAGATTGTGCGTGTGGCCAGAAATCTGTGCAATTTAGACGATCAGTGTCACTTTTTTTCCCCCAATCAATTAACCTAATGAAAAAACCTAAAATAATAATAATAATAAAAAAAACTTTCTAGATTCTAATGTGGCCCCAGATTTTTGAACCCTGCTGTAAGCCAACTGCAGGATGATTTACCTGAAATGTGCACTCAGTAGATATATTTAAACAGAGAGTGACCTCTATGAGTCAGACATAGTCTGTTTCACTGCAGCATCCTCCACAGTGTTATACCACCGCACACCATTAATGTTTTCTACTAGCCTTTGTTCACAACATCAACATAAAACAAGCAGCATTCACATGCTCATTCTCCTTTTCCAGTGTGTTAATTCTGGGAGTTACAGTCCGCCTTAAGGCAGCAAATCTGGTGTGAAACCCCATCACTTTAATTAACAGTGATTACAAATTACACCATTCAGCGTGAGGACTAACAAGCAATACAGGCCATAGATAGTGATGTGCTCTAGAGCTTGAAAATGGCAGACATTACTCACCTATTCTGAATGAGAGTGGGCCACTGGTGGCGTTTCTCACCCACATGGCTAAGAAGAGCAGAGGCGCCCAGGCTCCGAGCATCTTCTTTGACTCCTCATGGGTCCAGCCCTGGGGGTCCCCCTTCACACAGCCACCTGCCACACCAAACACAACAGCAACACTTCAGAAGAATATAAAACATGCTTTTCAATCAAAGGAATTATACGCGCATATGGTACAACAGTTTGTTGGTGCCAATTTTATTTTTTTTTTTTCACTGTGGTAAGCACTGTTAAACTTGTTTGGCTCTTAAGAATTTTATAATTGGGTGTTTCCTCAAATAACTTTGAAATAAACTTTATTAAAACATATTTTTACACTTTCACTATGTTTGTCAATTAAAATGTTCAAAAGTGTAGAAAGAATACATTACAGCAGAACTTTGTCATAATTATGTTTTCTGAAAATAATAAACATTCCCACCATAGTGTCATTTCTACCATATCTCAATTGATTTATCGTGCTTAAAATCAGCCTGTGGTAGACATTACTGTTCTGGAAATGACATTTTTGGATTAAATAATGCTTCCATTTATTTATTTATTTAAAAATGTATTTATGTATTAGACTTATACAGTTGTTTCCTTGCTAAAAATGTAACCTTTGAAAAAAAAAATACTTGCTAAATTTTCAGTGTGGTGGAAATGACACCACAAATCAAAGACAGACATGATTTTGAATGATTGAATTACGATGATTATGATGAATTATTTCTGATTATTTCATTATGTTTTATCTAACAGTTGTAATAATTCGTATTTTCAGTCTGAGCCTGGGACAAGTGTAAAACAATAAAATCTATACAAAAAGGCATTCTAGCAAGTAAAAGTAAAACAAATGAAGCATAGAGAAATATTTACAAAATGGTAATAATGTGACCTTCACATAACAAAAAATAAAAAAATAAATAAAAATAAATCTATTAGTTGAAAAAAAAGAAAAAAAGGCAAACCCTGTGACATAAAAGCGGACATTACTGTTCTGGAAATGACATTTTTGGATTAAATAATGCTTCCATTTATTTATTTATTTAAAAATGTATTTTATGTATTAGACTTATACAGTTGTTTCCTTGCTAAAAATGTAACCTTTGAAAAAAAAAATACTTGCTAAATTTTCAGTGTGGTGGAAATGACACCACAAATCAAAGACAGACATGATTTTGAATGATTGAATTACGATGATTATGATGAATTATTTCTGATTATTTCATTATGTTTTATCTAACAGTTGTAATAATTCGTATTTTCAGTCTGAGCCTGGGACAAGTGTAAAACAATAAAATCTATACAAAAAGGCATTCTAGCAAGTAAAAGTAAAACAAATGAAGCATAGAGAAATATTTACAAAATGGTAATAATGTGACCTTCACATAACAAAAAATAAAAAAATAAATAAAAATAAATCTATTAGTTGAAAAAAAAGAAAAAAAGGCAAACCCTGTGACATAAAAGCATTTGAAGTTAAAGAAACAGCCAATCATATAAATAATAAACAGTTCTGGAAACTATAAAAGTTTTCTTCACCTAAATACAGGTGCATCTCAATAAATTAGAATGTAGTGGAAAAGTTCATGTGCCTAGAAAATAAAATAAAAAAAAGACCAAATGAGAGCCATACAGTAATGTTCTCTCTTTGCTGGCAATTTCAAATGTTGGTTGGTTGAATTGCATTAAATAAATTCATCTTCTGAAAAAAGAAAAAAAAAGTAATATCTCATGCTACTGTATCATGTTTGTTAATCTCACAGCTGCTTATTACAACAGTAGAGACAGACAAAGTAACAAGTAACTGAGTATCTCAATGTCTAACTGCAATTATGATTCATGTTGCTACAAACATGTTTCATATCAGCTGCATTATCCAGAAGAAAAACATAAATCACATATACTGATTTTACTTAATGACACATCTAACACTGGCGATTATGTGACACAGCAGACGCTGTTTGTTTTTTTGTTTTCTTTAAGTAGAAATGATAAATATGTAATCCTTACAAACTATGTCTGTTGCATTTGCTTCGAAGAATATGCAGAGGCATAACTGTACATCACTTGCTCACCAATGCTTTCTTGTCACGTTAATCGATGGGACTGGAGTTGTGTGAATTACTTGTGGATTATAATGATGTTTTTATCAGCTGCTTGAACTCTCATTCTGATGGCACCCATTCACTGCAGAGATGTAATGCTACATTTCTCCAAATCTGTTCTGATAAAGAAACAAACTCACCTACATTTTGGATGTGATTTTGAGTTCCACAGAATCCATTTTAACCAATCTCTAAAATTGCTTAAACAGCACTATGTTATTCTTTTCAGCACATCCATTTTTTATGCCTTATTCACAGAAGTTAGTACTCTTTAATCGATAAAAGAATGTATTAATACCACTGAGAAACCCATCCTGGAAATACAGGAAGTGTTTTAATATGAACTGAGGCAGGAAATGTATCTGGCTAAAGGCTCCGTTTAAGAACTGACAGGCAATTAAAAATACAGTAGAAAACCTGCAAACACCACAGAGCATTCAATGTAGTTTTTTGACTATGAACAGAAGGATGAAAATAGAACGTGTTCCGTTTCTTACTCGTTTATGAAATTGTCATCGTTCTCAAAGGGAATCGTGCGAATCAGACCCACTGTGTCTTCAATTCAAACCGCTACCCGTCTCTGCCCAGACAAGCCATGCAGAGTTTTTTTTTCTCTCTCTCTCTCTCTTTAAACAAACATTGTTCAGAGAAAACCTGTTAAAGGTGAAATGGTTGGGAATTTTGGGCGACATGGAAGCTGTTGTTGGTGTTTTTTTACTCAAATGAAAACTGTGGTTGTCTTTATATCTTTGGTCATATATCTACACTCTAAAAACAGATTTTGAAGTTGTAAATAAAACAAATATTATTGGAGCATATTTTACAAGAAAATATGGTAACACTTTAGTTTAGGGACCAAGTCTCACTTTAACTAGTAGCTTGTTACTGTATGCATATTACTAGCATATTGGCTGTTTATTAGTATTTATAAAGCACATATTAATGCTTTATTCTGCATAACCATATTTTAGATCCCTTAAACTTAACAACTGCCTTACTAACTATTAATAAGCAGCAAATAAGAAGTTTATTAAGGCAAAAGTCATAGTTAGTTAGGGAATAGTGAGAACTGGTTCCCAAACTAAACTGTGACCGAAAATACTGTTTCAGTCTTTCTTTGTCAAAATTTCAAAAATTTCATGTTTAATTCAATGCATTATTTGCCATTTCTTTGTAACTATTGGTGAAAATTACTAGCAATTTCTGAGTGAAAACTACTTCTACACCATTTTTTTCAGTGGACTGTAATATTTTGGTCCACTGGATTTATTATTTTTTTTCTTCAATGTTTTGTCAGCTGATCGATCAAAATCAACAACTGATTTACTTAAAGGGATGGCTGACCCTGGAAACTGTCTTCAATCAAGACTTTTTTTCTTATATGGAAAAAAAAAAAGTTTTTTGTTCATACAACATTGGGCCCCATTGACTTTAAAAAAAAATCTCCAAAATATCTTATTTTTACTTCTACAAAGGAGAATGATACAGGTTTTGAATGACATGAACGTAAGAAAATATATACAATTTTATTATTATTATTATTATTATTATTGGTTAGCTATCCCTTTAAAAATCTGCATTATGCCACACATATTCAAATGAAAATTGAACTGGACTACATATTGTCATTACACTATATACTGATGCTTAGATAATAATAATGTGATATTATGTCTCCTAGATATTATATAGGGGTTTTTGTGGAAAACAGCACACACACAATCTTAAATAGCTATGCCCTCCTGAAGTAAATGTGACCCTGGAGCACAAAACCAGTCTTAAGTCGCTGGGGTATATTTGTAGCAATAGCCAAAAATACATTGTATTGGTACAAAATTATTATTACTTAGAATATTAAGTAAAGATCATGTTCCATGAAGATATTTTGTAAATTTCCTACTGTAAATATATTAAAACTTAATTTTTGATTAGTAATATGCATTGCTAAGAACTTCATTTGAACAACTTTAAAGGCGATTTTCTCAGTATTTAGATTTTTTTGCACCCTCAGATTCCAGATTTTCAAATAGTTGTATCTCAGACAAATATTGTCCTAACAAACCATACATCAATGGAAAGCTTATTTATTCAGCTTTCAGATTATGTATAAATCTCAATTTCAAAAAATTGACCCTTATGACTGGTTTTGTGGTCCAGGGTCACAAATTAGTCTTTTGAATGCTGGAAAGCGTTACCTATCATTATGATAACTGACAAATGTATATTATAAATGACATTCAAAGAAAGCCAATGCACAGTGTCTACTTAAACCCTCCTTTTCTCTTGTGAATTACTGTGTGTGTGGGGCTGAGTCATTTGAGGGGAGGGTTGAATCAGTAATGGGATACCACAGAAATAGCCCGTAGGTTGTTTTTGTAAGACAAGTGCTCGCTGTGGGAAGTAAAACAAAGGCGAAATCACCATGTGTTGTTCTGAACGCATTTGGCTGCTGTCATGTGGTGAAACAGAGCTTGTTTTTGACCGGCCAACGCAACAATACCATCCAGAAGAACTCCACGAGGCTTACTATTGAAAATCTCACTATTAAATCCAAGTGACTGATTCCATACAAATGTGGAGCAATTCAGTCCAAACTTTAATTAGTCCTGGCTCAGTCCCCACAATGCCACCCTTTTGTAAAAGGCATCAAATTAAGTTCTAGCAATGGAGGAGTTCTTTTCAATTAAAGCTAGATAAAGGCTGCTAGACCACGAGCACCGCAAACAAGTCAAACCTGTCACTCATAACCGTAGCTTCATCGCAAAAAAAAAATTAAATGTGTTCTTTTTGTAGCATTGAGAGGTAGGTGAACTTTTTATTTATTTATTTTTTGTTCATTTTTTTTTAAGTTCAGTTAAGTGAAGCATTTATGAATAAACATACCTAATTCCATTTGTTAAGAGAATTGTTTCTTCTGCTTTATATAAATAAGCACTATTTTTGGAATGTTTATATCAATACTGGGTAATACAGTAAATAATAAAGTAGCTGGTTTAGCATGCT